ATAACACTGGTAACATGAGAAACATATGTATCTTGTTTTCTTCCTATAAATAAGATATACTATATTATTTATTATTAAAAATTACAATTCTTCTTTTTTGTTTTGTTTATTGAGTTTATTATCTAAATATATAACTAGAAGATTATGAGATCGAATAGTATGATCCTGTTTTCTTGTTTTTTTAATTTTCTTTTTCAAACTATTGTCTAGAATAATTTATAAAACTTTTTTTCAGAATAAAAAAGGGAGAAAATGTTGTTTGATGAAATCGTTTTTAAAAGAGTTTTAAAAGTTGAGGAAACAATTCGCTTGATAATTTTGTTCTGAAAATATATTTTCAAGAAAAAAAAAAAGTCATTTGATCAGTAACTTGTTGTAAACTTTATTTTATGATCTTTTTTAACTATATCTAAAATTTTAGATATATTTTAATGAAATATAGTTTTAAAGACCAAAGGAAATCATATTATAAGGAAATCATACTTTAAATGGTTGCAAAAAAATAAAACCACAACACATGCATAAGCTGATGGGACATAATGAAAAGCCAAAAAAAAAAAAAGTAAAATAGAGAAAGAGGGATAAATAGAATGGAAAAATTACAAATAGAGTAATACAAAGAAGAAGAAGAATAAGTGATGAGATACACGGATATTTGGCCACCCATATATTGATCTAAACGTTATATGCACAATTGAGAAATTGATACAGAAGCTCGAACTGAATAATACTACCATAAAGAATTGCTAATATTGACCTAGGGATAGGACTCACTTTTATGAAATATTTATGAATTCTATTTTCCTAAGGCTTTAATTGACTCGAGTCAATTAGGGAATTGGACCACTCTTGTCAGCATAAAGGGTTAAGGCACCAAAAATAAGCTTTAACCAAATTAGGTGAATTCGATTGACAATAGAATTAAAATAATTGAAATGATAAATGAAATAAAATAACTAAAGTTACTAAATTCGAATGCGACTTTAAGTTTTATTGAAAAATAAATTTCATAAATATGATTTATTAAAAATATAATTTTAAAAAAGCTATATTTAAAATATTTTAATTTAAATTACTTAACAATAATTATGATAATAGCTAATAAAAGAAAAAATGTGGTGGGTGTAAATTATGCATAAATTTATAATTATTATTATTTTGACAAATTTCATGATAAGGTAAGAAAATAATTGAACTCAAGACTCAATACCACTTATTAAATTGAAACAATCACATACCAGCCGATCTACATGCTTAATGATGTCATCAAAAATATTAATTAATAATATCGGAAATAAATATATAAGAATTTACAAAATATTACATATAACCAGTGTTATTAAACTCGACCCGGGTATCGATCCGGTCGGGGTACTGGATCACTGGTCGGACTGGAGGGTCACTGGTCGGACCGGTTGACCCGGATATATATGGATATATAAAACTATATATAAATATGAACATATAAATTCAATTATATTCCCCATATCTAAAATGATTTAAACAAGGTTCACTAAATAAGCTAAAAAACATGAAGCATAAATAAATAAAAGTGTATGCTATTATTATGTCAATTTAAATTGTACCTCAGAATTTCCATAAACATACCTCTCAATGACATTGAACTCATATTTTTCAAATTCAACTACATTAAAATGACATATGTCACATTCTCTAATTTATTATTCTACAAATTGCTTCAGTATTGAAAACTAAGAGGTCATTGTAGAAGAGTATACTGGCAAATAAAATTACAAAAAAAAATTAAAATGAGTTTTACATTCTTTTTTATAAGATGAAACAATTTTGATTTTTTTTTTTTTTAAATGCATGACCCGACCAAATCGCCGGGTCACCGGATTTGATCGGATCGATGCATGAACGATCTAATACTTAACTCGAACCGGTCTGATGACCGATTCATCGGGTTTCGGGTTGACCCGGCCGAGTCGGGCCGGGTTTTACAACAGTAAATATAACCAATAACTATTTAATATCTAATTACAATACAATATCGATCAATAAAAAGCGGGGATACCATATAATCGAAGAAGGATGCATCATTAGAGTCTTAAATAATCATATGGGTGAAACTCATCCAGTTGTCCAACTTACACAAAACAAAACAAAATAATCATGAAGACAAATCGCTAATCCTTAATTTCTAACTGCTGCACCTAACATTTAATTTCTTTTTATCTATTTATTTATTTATTTTGGTTGTTGAAAGTAGCGGGGCCCTTTCTATCTAACGTTTTATATTAGTATTTTTTTTTTTTTTTGGTAAAGATATTAGTATTCTTTAATAGTGGATAGTAGTAGTGTTTGAGTTATCATTGACTTGCCTTAATTAAATTATGTCTTTTGTCCGATGAAAGATATGTTATTTGCATTTTAGATCAAAAAATTTATAAACTTAGTTAAAAATAATGTGTACCTACACACAGCATATACTCATCTACTGAGGTAGGCTAATTACCGTGTCAACTATTTGGTGAATCTTTTTTTGACCATATGGAAATGGATGATAATTTTATTTTCTTGTAACCTCCTTCTAGCTTACTCTTGTTTTTACTTGCGAACTTTTCAGTCACTTCTTGAGTTAGGAGTGGTAGTTGATTCTTTTCTTTTTTCTTTCTATTTTTAGCTTTTCTTCATGTATAAAAAAACAAAAATTAGGGATTTTTTAGATTAGCATTGCTAAATTAACCCCTGTGGGATTTTTATATAAGCATTAAGAGATAGGACAGAGTTGCATGCCTGTTTGAAAATAATCGTAGGCATTATTAATATAATAGTTAAAATAAATGGATAATAAAGAAACTAGTCTATTAAACATTCAATGGATCATGTCTCAAAAAAAAAAAAAAAACATTCAATGGATCAACCAATAAAAAACACGTTTTCCTACTGTGCATATCTCCTAGATTTTTTTTAGAAGCATGTTACTGAAGAAAATGACAGGAGGAATTAAGAAAGCAAATTGCTCTATTTTTTTTATAATATTAAAATAAGGGAAAAATGTAAATTCTTTTAAATGATATAACTTGTGTCATTTTACTTTCACAAAGAGGTGAGACTCACATCTTTATTTTTTTTTTGTCCAATCTCTCTCCCCTTTTATCTATCTTTTTCTCTCGGTTAAAATAAAGACAAATCACAAGTAGGTTACCTTCCAAAAAAAATTTTGGAAACAAGGGGAGAGAAAAATAAATAAAGACAAAACTAGCATGGTGAACTAACACCCATTCCATTCTAGATGCAATGGTTACACTACAAGAAAATAAGTATTTTGTGGCAATTAAAATTATATTTTGCGGCGGTTAAAAACTGTTGCAAAATGTTTCACACGACAGTTTTCAAACTGTCGTAGTTAGAAGTGTCGAGAGTTATTCCACAACGGTATCGTCTAACTACCGAAATAACTACCGCATATGTGTTTAAAGGTGATTAAGGAGACAGTTACAACTGACGCCATACAATAGCAAGATAATATTATTAAAAACTCCGAGGTGGTTTTCTAGTCGCCCTCTTACTACATCTTGGAGAATATTTTTGGTATCATTGTCACATTGAATAGTGGATACGACTTTTATAAAAATAAAATTAGATTATATATTCGAAAAATATATAGACATACTTTTTTCTCTCCTCAAAAAATATGTCAATATAAATGTTGTATTTCTATTGGAAGGATATAGGTATTATGTGATATGCTAAAAATTTCGCATTTTGGGAGTCGTAGAGAAAAAACTTAAAAGACTCTACTTTCAAGCCACGGTGGCAAGCCAGTCTATCGTATTTCCTTCCTTATATGTGTAGAATGTTCATCTTCACCAAAAAAATCTCTCTTGACCTATGGTATTTATTTTTTCCTTGCTTTTGGATTCTGATTGTAACTTTTTTGGACTAAAACGCCCTCTTGTAAGTGACTGCACAAAATTGAAAAACCATGTCTTATTGTAAACAAGTTTTAGGGAGAGAGTTAACGAAAATTTTTTGTAAACAAGTTATCGAGCCTACACAGATGGACCTTTCTTACAAGTGCTAAAACGAACGTTTCTAATAGACGTATAATATTAAAAAATATGGATAATTTGATAAATTCAATTCTCATTCCATTAATATTTTACAATCAACCAAACGTAGTATGAGTCAAGTTAATCTTACTTTTCTAACAATATTTTGGCCTACCAAATACTTTTTCATTACTTTCCAGTGCAAAATATTTTCCTACCATATATCTAGAAATTTTTTTTTTCAGTAAAAAAAAATATCATTTCCAAAAAAAAAAAGTAAAAAAAAAATATCTCTTATACTAAATGAGTAGGGATAAGTTGGTGTAATGTAAATATGTGGACATAACATTTTATTTTTACTATTCTATTTTATTAAATACAAGAGGGAAGACATGAAGTAATGATAAAAATGCTCTTAAATAATCGAAGGATTTAATATTTTTCATATTATAGGAGATAAATTTATCTTCTATATATTAGGGTCACATAAGACTACATAAGAAGAAAAGAGAGTAAAGAAAAAAATATAAATTTTATATACTTTTATGTATATATAAAAAATAAATTTATCTCAATAAGAAACAATGCGACCATAATTTATTAAATCCGGGTATATTACCGACTTACGCACGCTATTGGCTAATATGAATAAATGGTTTCCTCGTGCGAGATATTCATTTTTAACCATTTTTATCCATTTTTAGAGTATCATTGAAATGTTAGACTTTTGACCTCCACTTTGTTTTGTGGGATGGCTTAGCAACAAAATCTAAACTCAAACCCCACAACTTTCGCTATAATGCTGACCCATGTGGACAACTAATAGCTGTCTTAGGTTCATTCACCCAACACATTCTTTACCAAAAACCTCTTTTGCTTCCTTTTTCCTTGTCATAACACATTCTTCTCTCCCCAATATTTTCTAAGTCTCAAGCCATTGTCATTCAAACTCCTTTGATTCTCTCTATTCTCTTGTTCATAATGACAAACTTGCTCCCACTAATCGTCTATGTGTTATTGTTCTTTCTTGTCTCAGTTTCATCCCAACATGACCAGCTTCTGTATGCTGGATTCAAGGATATGGAAAGTAACAACTTAACCTTGAATGGTATAGCAGAAATAGAGCAAAATGGAATACTGAAACTCACAAATGAGACTAGTAGATTAATGGGTCATGCTTTTTATCCAACCCCTTTTCAGTTCAAGAAATCAAGTGATGGTAAAGTTTTCTCCTTTTCTTCCTTATTTGCTCTTGCTATTGTCCCTGAGTATCCTAAGCTTGGTGGGCATGGCCTTGCTTTTACCATTGCAACTTCCAAGGATCTCAATGCTCTTCCAAGCCAGTATCTTGGTCTCCTTAACTCAACTAGCATTGGAAACTTCTCCAACCACCTTTTTGCTGTTGAGTTTGACACTGTTCAAGACTTTGAGTTTGGGGATATCAATGACAACCATGTTGGAATTGACATCAACAACTTGAAGTCCAATGCTTCTGCCACTGCTGGTTACTACACTGAGGATTCAACAAAACAAGATCTCAATCTCAAAAGTGGGAAACCAATTCTAGCTTGGGTTGATTATGATTCTGCTGTTAATATTATCAGTGTCACACTTTCTGCATCCTCTTCCAAACCCAAAAAACCAATCTTGTCGTACTCTGTAGATCTCTCACCAATCCTTGAGGAATCTATGTATGTTGGATTCTCTGCTTCAACAGGGTTGCTTGCTAGCTCCCATTACATCTTGGGTTGGAGCTTCAAGATCAATGGGCCAGCACCACCCCTTGATCTCTCTTCTCTCCCACAGCTTCCGGGGCCAAAGAAGAAGCACACATCTATGATAATTGGGGTTTCAGTTTTTGTAGTTGTTCTTGTACTGTCTGCTATATTAATTGGCATTTACATGTATAGAAAAATCAAGAATGCTGATGTTGTAGAAGCTTGGGAGTTTGAGGTTGGTCCACACAGGTACTCCTACCAAGAGCTCAAGAAAGCCACAAAAGGTTTCAAGGACAAGGAGCTACTTGGGCAAGGTGGTTTTGGTAAAGTTTACAAAGGAACATTGCCAAGTTCCAAGACCCAAATAGCTGTAAAGAGGGTTTCACATGAATCAAAACAAGGCCTGCGAGAATTTGTTTCAGAAATAGCCAGCATAGGCCGGCTTCGCCACCGGAATTTGGCTCAGTTGCTAGGGTGGTGTCGCTGTGGCGGTGACCTCCTCCTTGTGTATGATTTCATGGCTAATGGGAGCTTAGACAAGTACTTGTTTGATGAGCCAGAAATCATTCTAAGTTGGGGGCAGAGGTTCAAGATCATAAAGGATGTTGCTTCAGCTCTTTTGTATCTGCATGAAGGCTATGAGCAGGTGGTTATACACAGAGATGTGAAGGCTAGCAATGTGCTGCTAGATAGTGAACTCAATGGAAGACTAGGAGATTTTGGGTTAGCAAGATTGTATGAACATGGGGCTAACCCAAGTACCACAAGAGTGGTGGGTACCTTAGGCTATTTGGCACCTGAGTTTTCTAGAACAGGGAAGGCCACTCCTAGCACAGATGTTTTTGCATTTGGTGCGCTTTTACTTGAGGTGGCATGTGGGCTCAGACCTGTTGAGCCAAAGGCATTACCAGAAGAGATGGTTTTGGTAGATTTTGTGTGGAATAGATACAAAGAAGGAAGAATACTTGATTTGGTGGACCCAAAACTAAATGGTGATTTTGATGAAAGAGAGGTTCTCATGGTGTTGAAATTGGGGCTTATATGTTCAAATGGTGCACCCAATGCTAGGCCTACCATGAGGCAGGTGGTGAGGTTTTTGGATGGAGAAGATGGTTTGCCAAATGAGTTGAGAAAACCAAGAGAGATAGGTCACCAGGAAGGTTTTGATGAATTCTTGCACTCACTTGAATCTTCTTTGTCTGATAACATGAGCACAAATTCCTATAATAGAAATAGAGAAACAGATGCTAGTTTTCCTTCTTTTGCTAATTCACCTCTTTTTTCTCTCCATGGTAGAGGGGAAACAAGGTGATTGATTATCTACATTGTACTTGGAGTTATACTTTTCTCTTGGTACAAAGAAATTTGTTTATTTTATCATCCCATGATGTCTGATAATTGTAGAGAGGAAGTTCTGGTCATGATGAATTAAATCCCAAAACACTGAAGTTTCTATTTTGATTATGTCCCCCATTGGCACCCATTTTCTTGATTCATAATATCTCCCTTCATTTCATGACATAGGTAGATGAACAATTTTGCTTACTTCTTTAGTTTCTTGTGTCCTAAGAATTGATGAAACAATTAGCTTTCAAGGGCTTAAATTTTTGTCTACTTTGTACAATTGGACTGAAAATGTCTTATCTGATCCCAACTAGAGCATATTATAGACATTATTTTTCCCTTCTTGAACATTACTAATGTGTTTTATGAAGTTGTGAGAACAATGACTCCAATTCTTAGTTGTGACAAACTTCAATTATTTTATAAGAGGGCTACCTGGGAGCTGAGAGCAACAATTTTAATCATATTTTGTTTCCTTATTTCTTTAAGTTGCTGTTTAGAATTGAAGTATTCCATTCATGGTGAAACAATTTCTCCTTAATTAAAAGGTGAATATTGGCTCTCGAATTCGGTTTTGTTGTCATCCATTATTGAATTCTATAAGCTTTTTAACCTTTTTGTTCTGCAAAGTTGGCCTTAAACTTCATGGTATCAACCACTTTCACAGAATTTCTTTTTTTACTTATCACTGACTTGTTCACGTCTAATAAGGCAACTTTATGAACTTGTTCCCCACAAGAAACATCAATGGCAACTGTTAACTCTTCTAAGCAATAATCTTGCAGCAGCACATGATTTTAACTGCCCCCCAATGAATGACACCTTCATAGCATATTTGGATGATGCAAAGGTTCTACTTGGTCAAAATCAATAAGTAAACAATGAGTTTTACTGTTTATTCCTCCTACATACTCGCAGGGCTTGAATTTGAATTAGCCTACTTATAAGGGTGAGGGTTAATTGTACATAACCTTAACCTCACATTTTTATAAAAAATCTATTTACCGAATTTGAACATAATCTTTCATTCGTGAAGAATAACTTATTTAGACTAAGTTTTAGGTCATTAAAAAGGTGTCTATCAAACTAACCAATTCATTATTTGAGTGGGACTATTGGCATTCCAATATACTATTCACACTCTCCAATTTTTTAAATTGTATGGTATTTTTCATTATCTTTATTTAAAACTTTAAAAAAGTTAATTTGTTATTTTATTATTTAGGTCCTCTTCACTGACCAGTAGCACTTGCCCTACCAACTTTTGAGCGATTTCCTCATTGGAACATTTTTCAGTCTATCGTAGGTCGATCTCCACTTGCTATTAAAATTTCCAATCTTGGAGTGTTGCTTTTAATAGGGAAAATTTCAATCTACAACACTCCTCAACTTGCGAGAATAGGAGCCAAGATTGATTGTGTAAAATTTTATCCTTGTATTTTTTAAAAAAAAATATTATTTTTTAGATTCGAACTCATGATATGTGGATCATAAAAAATAACCTTATCGATGCTTCAAAACCCGTACTCATTTCAAAAATAATTCTAAACTTCATATATATATAAAGAGTGACAAGTAAAGGTTTAGTATGCATCATGGACTTCAATTTATTGACAATCGGTTTTCAATGTTATAACTGTCGTTAGGAGCTTCTATCTTTTGATGTAGTCGTTCAGGTCAAAAGTTATAAGAAAAATATACAAGAAAACAAAGTAAGCTAACTGTCAATAGCTCCACCCTTAATATTCATATATTTTTTAGTTTTGGTATCTCCATCGCTAAGGTATAAAATTAGTTTTGGTAAAAAAAAAAAATAAAAAAAAAAGGAATATTTGAATATCATGGTTCAAGCCAAACTGCAAGCCATGAAGAAGGAATATATAAAGGCCCACCCATTTACTTTGATTTGTTAAGAAATGGACATTTAACACTTTTTTTTTTCTTATACGTCTTGGTTTAATCCTGTTGGATTCATATTGAAAGTGACTCTCCTATTGCACACATTCTTTTGGTTTCTATTCCAATTTAATCTGGTCCGAGCACTATCAGATACATGTTAAAAGTGACTCTCTCATTGCACACTTCTATATATATATATATATATATGGGAAAACTTTATGGGAAAACTTCAATTTCACCCATTGCGATTTTGTGATTTATCATTTGACCCTATGTGGTTTTAAACTTATCAGTTAGATCCATTGTGCTGGAATATTTTGTCATTTAACCCCCTATGGTTTCAAATTTTCACTTAGCTCCTATGTGGTTACAAAAAATTTCACTTAGACACCTTGTGGTTTAAAAAATAAATATTTTTAAAAATAAATATTCTCTCTTTTTTATTTTATATCCTCATGTAATGTATTTATGGTTTAAAATATTTCAAGTTATTTATTCAGAAATTAATTTATAAATTATCTTATTTTTTTAAATATATTTGAAATTAAAAAAATATTATTTTAGATAAATTAAATATGTATTATCAAATAAGATATTTATTTTCTTTAGATAATTTTATAACGATATAGGGTAAAACATAGATAAAATAAAATAATATTTGATTTGAATTGAATTTATTTTCTTGATAAAAATAAGTGCATTTTTTCAAAATTCATTTTTATTTTTTAAACCCTAAATGCATTAGGTGAGGATATAAAATAAAAAAGAGAGAACATCTATTTTAAATATTTATTTTTTAAATTTTTTATTTTTGTAACCACAATTTGTCTAAGTGAAAATTTTTCTAATCACAAAGTGTCTAAGTGAAAGTTTGAAACCACGAAGGGTTAAATGATAAATTATTTAAGCACAATGGATCTAAATGATAAGTTTAAAACCACAGGGGATCAAATGATAGATCACAAAATTACAATGGGTGAAAATGAAATTTTTCATATATATATATATATATATATATAATCCGCTTCAAACACTACAAAACTCATATTAGGGATATCTCTCCCATTGCCCACTTTGTTGACCAGCAGTTTAGTCAAATTATTTTTTTGAAATAAAAGGAATTGAATCATTGTCAAAAAGTAAAGGAACTTGTAATTAGTGCGGCTGCTATCTAAAAAAATCCTCACCTTCCAATTGACTCTTCAATGGGAACACATTGTTAAAGCAAAACAGGCAATTGATGGATGACTTTTGAACCTTATAATAATTAAATATATAAATTGATGGATGACTTCACCTTTTAATGGTTATGAAAAGGGAAATTCTATGATTTAAGTACAGATATTTGTCTTAAAAATTCCAGACTCCGTTCACTGCAGCAATATGTTAGCTAGTTGAGCAGTGTTCTATGTCAGTTTGACCCATTCAGTTTTAATAAAACAATCATCAAATGCTGTCAAGAATCACGCATCAGGAGATACAAAACTTTGATCATGATAATGAAAAACTGCAAATGAAAAATCAATTCATGATTGACTAGTTTGAGAACCAAAAACATACTTTCTTAACAAAATAAAAATAAACTTCATAATTTTTTCGCACCAAGATAAACATAGTTGTTTACTACCTCTATGCAATTGGATATTTATGACATTATGCTAGATGCACACTTAAATTCAACTTGAAATTGACAATTTTAGAAGAAAATGAGGCAGCAAAAAAGTGCTTCCATAAATCATCCAGTTAAGGAAGGTCATGCAATTGAATCAATTTAGACCGGTTAATTCGGCCAAGTATAAGTGACTCGCGAGTCAAGCTAATAAAATTGGAAAAAATATTTCAATTTTAATTGTGGCTGGGAATCGAACTCAACCAATGGGAATGAATAATATTACCACTTACCACTAGGCTATTATCAATTATTAGTCAAAATGCACCTTATATTTATTATATAATTTAATATAAATTTAAAACAAAATATTCCACTTTTGACTGTGGCTGGAAATCAAACCCAACCTATGGAAATGAATAGAGTTATCACTTACCCCGAGGCTACTCTCAATTGTTGGTCAAAATGCACCTTATAATATATTTATTATATAATTTAATATAAATTTAATTAAACTAGTTGAACCAATGACCTACTGGTTGAACCAATGACACAGTATCTAGACCGAGTCAATAAACACGCCGAGCTTTAAAACATTACATATAACAAAATAGACACAAGAAATTCATGTGCTGTAGGCACAATACTTTTAACAACAAAATCAATGACAATGATCAACACAGCAGTATCCAGAATGCCTGAAGTATACATACACGGTTGAAATTGAAAGAAATTTGGGTAAGGTAGAACCACATCAGTAAAGAAGTTAATAATTCAATATAGAACTATCTTTCAGCTACTGTTCCCAATCCCCTTCTTGAGTCATCAATGCAATCAGTAAAATGTATTCTGAAAGATCATGCAAAATTAATGGATGATAGCACTTGATTCACTGTGACCCTTTTTGCCTACATTTTCAAAGCAGCTCTTGCCATGGCCAAGGCACCATCAAAATTTTGGTTTCCACCAATAAATCCACTGGAATGCACAAAAACACAACCAGGAATGCCAGCCTCCTTTGACAGTTCATCATCCCTTAAACCTCGCCACTGCGAGGGTAGAGGCTTTCGGCTCTCAAACCTATCAGGAGATACTGCAACTGCCTGCACGCGCCACTGTTTGCTTCTCTCATCCTGTAAAGGGAAATGAGAAAGGTACATGTGGAGAAAATCAGCTGACATGTTAAAAAAATCCTAAATCGGAGATATATTCACTAGACAACCTAAATGAGGCGGTTAAAAAAATTATGTTGCTGGTGATACAGGAACTTGAGTATTTTATTAGCAGAACTTCAACATTTAAAATCCAACATAGTAAGAAAATGGTATTTTAAGTATGTCCAAACTTCTAGCCAAATATTGAGTCCCATTTGAAGGCCCAAGAACAGGTAGGCTCCAAAATTATACTCTCATTTGATCCTTACTTACTGACCACATTTTCATCTTTTACATGTTTTTGTTTTATAAAAATTTGAGTTGAAATATTATTATGTGAAGAAATTTATATTTTTTTAATTTTATACATGGATAGCATAGGGGCAAACTCCGGTGCACAAAGCTCCCACACTTTCATTTTTGCAAAGAGCTTATTTCCCAGACTCGACCCATGACATTCCAGTCACAAAAGAGTAACCTTATCACTGCTCTAAAGCCTGCCCTCATCCTTATCATAATTTTTAAAAAACTTGCCACACTGTATTAGTAGCAGTAACAGCACACACGGGTACTGTACCAAGAACCATGCAGCCTAGTATGGTAGCATTACCCTGATAATTCATAATTAATTATTTCTATCCATTTTAAATTCATATCCACCTCTTCTTAGAAAAGTTGTCAGCTTGCCATCATGTTCTTTTCAAACTCTGGGCTTTAAGTTTAAACCAAGGGGGTTTGAGTTTAATTTTTCTTTCAGGTCTCCTCCCCCACTTTTATATTTAATAATCAGACCATATTTTTAGGCTACAAGCCTTCAAATGGACCCCAACATCAGGCTAGAGATTTGGAATTTAGAAATGCTAAACAGCTCATTTTCTAATTATTTTGGAATTTGGACTTCTTAATTGTTGAAATTCTGCTGCCAAAAAAGTATGATAATGACAAGAGACGTGATACTGAGCTCAATTGAACCAAAACAAATCCAATAAAGGCACAACTTATAATTCATTCTAGAAGTTTATCTATTAGCTGGCCTTTTCTGAAGAATCCTTGAAGACTAGAAGCCCAGAATGTAACATAAAGAAAATGAAAACAAAGTACGTACCTGATACAGAGCATATTTGATTGGAGGGTCAATTTTCATCTCCCCCTCAAGCTCAAATAAGTGAAGCTTCCACTGCAGAAAACAAAACCAAGTCATCTTCTGATAATACGGTATGTAGTTCTTGTAATAGTACCATTTAGCTAACACCAAGGAGGATACAGATATGTTGAAGTTTAGTATAATGGAGAAAATTATCAAATAACACTTCTTATATAATTACACAACGGCTAGAGACCAGTCTGCATCCAGGAAGTTGTTTTGTTACCCAATTACTAGTTGTTTTCATCTCATAAATATAGCTGTTTCAATTACTAGTTGTGTTGTGAGGGTAAAAATCACCCGGCGCTGGATTAAACTTATGGGAATCTTCTAGGGAGTAGAAATCGAGAACAACCAGTCTGCCACTAATAATCACCAGCTAGTTGGTAAGCTTATTCAATTCCACAAACAGGCTAAAAGTTCCTGTTTCCACCAATTTATCTGCTTTAAATGTTGGCATGATAATTTATAAGATAAGGATATAATAAATATTTGAGTTTTTTAGTCTTGTTGAGATATATAAAACCATTAAAAAGACCCTAACCCAACAACTTAAGCTTTTGGGTTGAAGTGGTTCTTTACATGGTATCAGAGCCTCAGTATACCGGATTCGATCCTCACCGCCCCCCACTTTCTTTATGGTGAAATTTCTTTCTTCGCACAGGTAGGTAAGCCTGTGCACTGTCCATCCTTCAAGCCCCGTGAGCTCTAGCGTGAGGGGACGTGTTGAGATATATAAAAACCATTAAAAATACCCTCACCCAACAGATATGTAAAGAACCACTTCAACCCAAAAGCTTAAGCTGTTTGGTGAGGGTCTTTTTAATGGTTTTATATATCTCAACACGCCCCCTCACACGAGGGCCCACTGGGCTTGAAGGGTAAACAATGCACAGGCCCACCTACCTGCGCGAAGAAAGAAATTCCACTAAAAAGAAAGTGGAGGGCGGTGCGGATCGAACTCGGTACACCGAGGCTGTGATACCATGTAAAGAACCACTTCAACCCAAAACCTTAAGGTGTTGGGTGAAGGTATTTTTAATGGTTTTTATATATCTCAACAAGTCTAAATACACGTTCAAGCTTCAAATCATGATTTCAGGATTAAACTATTCAATAAATGGATTAAGAAATCTTGTTTCTGCAAATTATATCTTTTTTAATGTTTGCATGGAAATTTGTATGAGAAATCCTCTAGAATATTTTTCAACATAAACGTGCAAGATGTTAGTAGACAAACATGCTCAAGCTTCAAATCATCATTTCCAAACACATGACAGGTGAATAGATATAATTTGAATGAATCAACTTCAAGTGTTACACAAAATGTTAGAAGAGGGAGACAAGAACTTTTTACTCACAGGACAGAATTTATTCAAAACTACAATTTCTCCACTAGGATCAACAGTCTGTCTAGCCGCAAGGGTATCCATTACAATTGACCTTGCTGGTAACCATGAATTAACATGAAATCGAACACTCTGCAAGGAGGGAGGAGAGCTTGTTCAAACAACAAAGCAATAGGTAAAACAGACAAGAACAAAGTTAAACCCCTTATAGGGTTAAAATTAAAAAAAGAGAAAGGGCACCGGGAGTGAAGACTCACATCCAGAAACTCACTGCCAGCAAGAGCCATGGCACGTTGAAAGGCCTCATTTTCTTTCTCAGGTGACTGATCAGGATCTGTCCAATCCAAATTTAACCGTCCTACTCTTGAGGATAAATGAGTATTATTCACATATTTTGGAGGCTGGTCTGTGTCATACTGATTGATTCCATTGTCTATAGCATCAATTGCCTGATATAATCAAACAATAACACTATCAAATAAGACCTAAGAAGATGTGATTCATAGTTTAGTGTCCCACAACAAAAGCCAGACAAAATTTCTCTTTCAAGTTGCCATTCAGTAAAGAATCTCAAATAATGAGGGACTAATCCAAAGTATAAATGCAAAATACAACAGACATGTACCTCTTAACTACCAAGAAACCAAAACTCATTGCAGAAGCCTTAGAAGTTCACAAAAACATTGAATAAGTCAGCACTCAGAACTCCAACTTTATAAGTAATGATTAAGATGCTAAATTTGATTCTTCTAGTTCCTTCATAATATTTCTTTGTGACTTTGTCTATTTCCTTCATTACAATTTAAAACTAGATATGATACAGATGGAAGATAGACTACATTCGGAAGCACATCCTTATCCTGGTGCAAGAAGAAATGAAGAATGTTTTATTCCGCTAAGCATCTACTCGATAAGAAGAACATAATAATTAAAAAGAATCGGTATATGGAAAAGAATTAAACCAAGCAAGGTCCTACAAAGTATAGAAAGTTGGAGACATGTAGAAAAGAATAAAATTCAAAATTTATTACCTCCATGAAGCTCCTGTAAACAGCCAAATATATGTTATGCACATCTTGGTGCTCTTCATCTGCCTTAAGTTCCTTGGCTATAATCTCCTTCCCAAAATGCTACAACAGAAAAAAAAAAAAAGTATAATATAATTGCTAAGGTAGAATCATATACAGAATAAAACTTTCCCCAAATAATAGACTATTGCACCAAAACACAGGAATTCACCTCCGTACAAATGAAGTAAATGACATAGGCTGGAAGTGATAAAACCAAAACCAAAACCAAAATAAGTTTGTTTAGATGAGGAATTTACCTTATAAACAAGGCCTGCACTACTCAATTTAGTGGAGAAACCATGCCCAAAAACCTCTTCAAATCCTTTTTGATGGTGATCATACCGATCTTGGGTGGGGTCATACACTCCCCCAACATCAAGAACAGCATCAAGACCCTCCAACACCTACAGACCCACAATTTAAATAAACAAAACTTGGAACAGATTTTATGAAAAACCCAAACTTACACTCCATTCAGTAGCTAAATACATGAGGCAACAACCAAAAAGTAAAACCTGCAACAAGATAAAAACTTTACATTTCTCTCCTAAATTTTAGCTGTCCCTCCCACGTTTTGGTTGCTGACCACAATTTAGCATGAAAGAAACACCCCAAACTAACCAATTCCTCAGCAACTCCAAAAGCATCACTCTTATCCACATCTTCTCAGCAACCAAACACACACACACACAATCATAACAGTGACAACAATTTTTTGGGTCATTCACTACATTTTAGCATCCAAAAATTTCCCAAACTAACTAATACCTTACTAGGCCGCTCATAAGTCATTAATTTCCACAGGAAAAAAATCACTTTTTCTCAGCAACCAAACAAAAAATATCGTATTTTCTCATCAACCAAATTCCACCCCCCACAACAACAACAACAAAAAAGAAAAGAAAAGAAAAGAAAAAAGAACATTAAAAGCACAATTCCTCACCAATTAAACCTCCCCACCCAAAAAAAAAAAAATCACACTTTCTCATCAACCAAACAAAAAGAAATCATATTTTTCAGCAAACAATCAAAGTTTAACAAAAAAAATTCACATTTTCTCAGCGACCAAACAAGAGAAAAAAAAAAAGGAAAATTGATTGAAAATTGAGAGGGGAACCTGGGGGTCTCGGGTGCGAACGATTTCGGCGTTGGAGAATCTGTGAGTGAGGCGAATCATGAAGCAGCCAAGTGCTTCATCGCAGTGGAAGCTTCCATTGTGAGTGCCCACGCGCTTCAGAGGAGCGTGAACAGGGGAGCCAGAAGGAGAGGAGAAGGAAGCAGAAACCCTCTGAGTTGTTGATGTTGGGTTTGCCATTCTAAGAAATGGAAGAGTAAGATGACACTGTCTCTGAAAATGGAATTTGATGAATGGCTTTGTTGCTGTCCACAACATGCCTTTGTTCCTTAACCTCACTTTCTAACACTTCTCATCTATGCAAAAACCCTAAAACCCTGCGCTTTTTTCTAACAACGATTTTTTAGGGTTTAAGTTTAATCAATTTCCATAAAATTCTTTACATTTTAATTTTTAAATGTTTGCTGTCCCCCCTTGGTTTGAATTTTTTATATTTCAAAAAAATAATTAATTTTTTTTCAAAAATTAAAAATCCCCTTCTCCAGGTTTTTAAATAGACTTTCAAAAAGTTGTTATAATTGAGCTACTGATAAAAGATTTGGGTAAGTTATGTATTTAATTCTAACTTGTGTTAAAAAAAAAGACTTTTTAAAATGAATTATGAGAATTTGATGCTAATGGGGTTTTGGATTTCCTACTCAGATTTACACGATTTTATATGCAGATGTTATGTCTCAAACATGTCTAGGAATCGTTTCAAAGAACAAAATTTACGGTGTGCATGACAACCTTCTCGGAATCAATTCTTTTTTAATTTCTGTTCCCGGGAACAGAAATGGATAGGAAACTCGTTTGGTAAAACCGGTTTATTATTTTGTTCCCGGGATGAACCGGTTTAATTTTTGTGCTGGGGAACAGAAAAAAGAATCAAATTTTTTTTGCTTTTTTGTTCCGGGCACAAAATGAGAAACATTTATCTCTCTCAATCACTCTCTACCTCTACCATCATCACCACCATCATCCCGACACGACTGCTGCCACCATCGTCGCTGCTGTCATCGTACCACTAGTGTCGTCGTCACCACCCCTCACCACCACGATACCACCGCCACCATTACCACCACCTCCACCCATCACTACCACCATGCCACCGCTACCACCACCACTTTCACCACCACCACCATTATCACTGTCACCGTCACCACCACCATCATCGCAATCACTGCCGACACCGCTACCATCGCCATCACATGCCACTGCCATCACCACCATTGTCACCAACCACCACTACCATTGCCACAACAACTACCGTCACCACCACTGTCGCCGCCACCAACCACCATCATTATCGTCACAGCCATTACTGTCACTACCACCACCATTATACCACCCTCGTTACTACCATCACCACCACCACTGTCACCTGTCGCCGCCGCAGCCACTGCCACTGCCGCCAACATGATGTCTTCACAACCACCATACCATGTCGTTACTACCATTGTTGCCGCCACCAACCACCATACCCACCACCATTGTCGGAGCCACTGCCGTCATCTCCACCACCACTACCGCCGCCGCCGCCACCATTACCACCGCCATCGTTGTAACACCTCATATATATCCGGTAGTGTTATCATTACATTGTATTAAGCGGTGCTTAATTACAAATACGGAATATTCTTTTTCTTTTCAATTATGATGTCATTATAAATTACCATCTTGATTACTTAATCAATTTCATAAAATATCGTCTGTATGTAAATTGCAATAAGACATCTACTGAAATACCTCAATATATAAATAAAGTGTGTATCTAAATCACGGCATTACATCTCGTAATCCGGACAATATCCTGATACATTATTACAACTCCCAAAAGACTCAAGACGAAACAATACTATGTGTCATGGACAATCCCCATGCTCACCAAATAAACAGCGTAAACAACAAGTCTTAACATAAAACTCCATAAACATGAACTGAAGCTATAAGCATATAAGCAGCATGCAAATCCAGCATCCAACATGTCAGCATAAATAACAGCAAATCTAACTCAGCTCTGGCCTCCTGCCGCCTGAGGTCTCAACATTACCTGATCCTGAAATAAGCATTCCCCAAACGTGGGGTGAGATATCTAAACAAGAAATCTCAGTAAGACAAGGGGTCATCAAGGATCTTCCACCTCACTTACATGTGCAATATAAGTTCTAAAAGCATTTATATCATTATCAGTTCCAAAACTATGTAGTGCAACATATATCTATGGCATGTGTGTTTATCACTATCTACTGGCCAGAGAAATGTAAGAATACGTCTATACCTACATGTAGTACAAGGAACACCGCTTGCACCTCACCCACAGCCTCACCCTATTGTATGTTCTATATACTCAGGCTTACCGTATAGGTGGAACACCTCCATGCATATCCACAAGGCACTAACATACAATAGCTCAACAGCATTTTCAAAACATCAAAAACATGTAACACAGCATGCATATACCATACCCCCATGGGACATGGTGGAACCACAACATGGCTAAACCGAGGACACGAAAGCTTACCTTGCAAGCTAACTATCCAAGTCAAGAGTCCACACTAGCTCAAAGCCCGCAAACAGTACAATCACAATCTGTTTATACAGTAAGTAATCATCAATAACCATCTATCAAGGTTACATTAAGTGATTAAGGCTTTCCATCTCATTATAAGTCATTTTATGCATTTTCTGCAGGAGGTATTCGAATACTCCTCGATGAGTATTCGAATACTCCCTGTCTCCAGAAAGTATTCGATTACTTCCATTAAAGTATTCGAATACTCACAAGTATCTGAATACTTCCCCCCCAGTATCCGAATACCTCAGTATCCGAATACCAAACCTTACTGTATTCGAATACTTTCCAATAGTCGAATATTTCTTCAAAGGTATCCGAATACTTCTCTTCCCAGTAAAGTATTCCAATACTCCTCCAAGGAGTATTCGATTACCATAAACAAGTATTCGAATACTACACGAAAAGTATTCGAATACTTCTTCAACAAAATGCAAAAATTCGAGCCAACTTCTGCATAATCCCAAATTTAAAGGTACAAAAGCGATTGGGAGTCCAATGACTCCCTAAACAGATATAACCCAACATGCTATGAACCCAGAAACACATTCCTTTACTCAAATGGTTAAAGTTCCTCTTTTTAGTTGATTAAACAAGCTTTAAACCTCAAAATGACAAAGAGTTTTCATGGTATACCTCCAAGGCACCAAAACTCCGAAAATGAGGCACACAAGGGACACTCTACACAGCACCAAGGTTCTGACTTGAGCAAGACACGAATAGGACTACCAAGCTTGATCCTTTAAGCCAAAAGGTAGCTTCTTGAAGCTCAAGAAACCAAGAACAAGCTCCACTCACACAAACTCAGCAAGAACAGCCCCAAAAATGCCCAATACACAGCAAACATCAACTCAGAAATGCTTCACAACTCCCTCACACTGTTTACAAGCTTAATGTTTACAACTCTAGGAAGAAAACTCTCAACAAAGGTGACTTCTTGGTCCCTTTTCAAGAGCAAAGGCCAAGACTTCAAGGGGAGAAGAGAAGGCTGAAGGGAAGTCAGCAAAAGACTCACGTAGGCAGCCTCCAATGTGGCCTAGGGTTTAGTGCCATTAAGCATTTATAGGTCCACTTAAAATACAACACAGTATTAAAAATAATAGCTACGCTTAGTATTTTAATCCCAAACTTTGGAATCTGAATCTACTCATTTTCCAAGAATAATCATATTTTTATTATATTTTTCCGAGCACCTTTCCGGTACGCGCTTTTCATAGCCAGTATCAGTTTCTGGCACCAGTTCTCATTATATTAACTTGAAACTCGTTTTACAAGTCCTATATAAATTCTAGTAATTATCATGCACTTTTCATAATTTTCCGGGATACTTTTTCGGTACACATTTATACCGACTAGCCGGACCGGTATCTGCACTTTTCCTCCGAAAAGCGACTTTCAGCATTCTTAATCACTTACTATAATTATATAAGCCTTATAATAATTATTAGGGTCAATTATGGAATCATTTCCTATTTTTTGCATAATTAATTAATTAAATTCCTTAATTAACGGTGCGGGTTCTTACAATCGTCGTAGCCACTGTCGTCACAACCACCACCACTATCTTCACCACGTCACTGCCACCACCACTATCGTACCGCCGCCGTCACCACCACCATGCCAACCGCTGCCACCACCACCACCACAACAACACCATATGGAAAGGAAAGTGATGATCCGAATTTTTTTTATATTTAATAGGAATTATGTTTTATTATATTATTTGTTGTGTTATCAAACACAATTCTCATTTTCGGAATAAAAATAGAACATGTTATCCAACACATTTTTTTTCTCAGAAACTGTTCCAAGGCATAGAAATAGAAAAGAATTATTTCTTTTCAGAAACAGTGCTAGAGAATAGAATGATTGTCATTATGCAGAATTCCAGATAAGATATTTGTACTATTAAATATTTTTACTATTAATTCATTATCATTTTAATATAACTATTTTCTTCTGATGTACATTAAAAACTAATTCTTTTCAGAAATTGTTTGTTAAAAAGTAGAATTTAACGGTTAAAAAATGATAATAGATTAATAGTAAGAACATTTGATAGTAAGAATATTCTGCCTCAGAGAATTCATGTCAAAATGTTTTAACAAATTTGACCTCAAGATTGACAATATTCTAAATTTCCGAAATCATGAAAATTTTCAGGGTTTTATAGAAAGTTATTAGCTCAAGTATATCCAATTATCAGCTCAAAATAACATTATTTGATCACAGAAATAAATTAGAAAGGAAATTAACTTTTCGTAAAAATATGCATAAAAATTTCAAAAAATTTGAGAATAGTTGTAACTAATTAAAAATGACGAAAATTGTTTATAAAAAAAATGACGAAAATTTATGGGGTCGTATATTAAAATGTAGTCTAGAGTATATTCAAAAACCAACACAAAACAACAAAGTTCAATCAGTCAAACAAATTTAACAGAAAAATTGAGTTTCTGTGGAATTTCGAGGATCATGAATTCTATGAGTTTTGTTAGTTCTTTCTGTGTGTATGTATTTTTGTGTTTGGGTATCAATCTGATTCAACTCAATTAAAATTTACTATTAATGACATAACCTTAAACCTTTACTCATAATAAGTGCATGGTTGGATTTCATTTTGTGTTAGTAATCTTGCTCAGAGTCCAACATGGCCTACGCCCAAGCATCTATCTCTGCACAATAATCTTACTCTTTGGTATTTTGGGATCAATCATAATCAATAGGCCTCATTTTATATGTATTATGTTTATTTTGT